ATCTCCCCTTCCCCATCTCCCCTTCCCCATCTCCCCTTCCCCATCTCCCCTTCCCCATCTCCCCTTCCCCATCTCCCCTTCCCCATCTCCCCTCGAATCGTACGGCCTCACCCCTCTCTCCTTCACCCCACAGCTCAGAGCAGTGCAGTACAGTACAGAGCAGACAGTGCAGTACAGTACAGAGCAGACAGTGCAGTACAGTACAGAGCAGACAGTGCAGTACAGTACAGAGCAGACAGTGCAGTACAGTACAGAGCAGACAGTGCAGTACAGCACCCAGCACCAGCATTCCGGGTAGCCTCTAAGTGCCTCTAAGCTCAGCCCCGAAGTTCCGGCCACCTGTCGGCGAGCTGTCGTACCTTACCTCGATTACCAGAGGCCGACTGCCCTCCGCCGCGGCCAGCGCCCGGAAGGCGGCAATGGGGCCGGACGGGCCGTTGCCTAATGGGGCAACACCTCCCCCTCCCCCTCCCCCTCCCCCGCCCGCTGTCGAGGGGCCTGCCATCGGCGGAAGCCGCGGCTGGGGATGGCCTCCATCTGCAGGAGGAGACTGCAGTACATCCGTACGGATGTACGGATGGGAAATGCCAGTGAATAGAGTACGGATAAGAAAGGGAAGGACAGGAAGCTTTTATTTGTGTAACGGTTGGAAAGAAACCGAAAATGATTTTTGCGGTTTCGGAGGTGTTTTCTGGGGGGCCGACTAGGGTGGGGTAGGGGGAGGGCCGATGGCAGCAGCGCGGCCCCCTAGGTGTGTTCAGGAGGTAGAAAGGTCTCCTGGAACCCGATGCGCCGTATGTATACGGCGTGCCGTACCACTACATAATACTAAAGTAGTATGTGATCGTATACACACACACACACAGCGCACTGCTCCGGTGGCTCCACGATGCGCACGGGAATATGAGGTGGTGGATGCCACGATAACGACGACGACGACGATGATGATGATGTCCATTCATTCATTTTAAAAAGCTGTCAGATATATCAGCGCGCGGCAATATCGAGATATTTCCCTCTTTCCCTCTTTCCCTCAAGATTAATAACTGTTTAATTTGTAGATTTCATTTATTTTAGATCTGATTGTTTATTGACAGGTGCTTAAATTAAGCTGCAATACACACACACACGCACACACACATACACACATACACACACACGCACCTGTACTACAATGGTGACGTGCTCACGGGGGCCGCTCCGGGGGCCGGAGGCGGCCCAAGCTGCACCCGGCACACCGCCGCCGCTACTGCCGCTGCTACTGCCGCTGCTACTGCCGCCAATGTTTCTATTGCTGCGGCCGCCCACCCCCGCCAGGGACAGGCACATGAGCGACTGGGTCTGCGGGGGCGACGTAGCAACATGCGGGTAGGGGTGTGTTGCTATTTAACCCCCCTTTAAGGGTCAAGGGTCCAATACGGTCGCAAATATGGGGTACATATAATATCCCTTTACGGGTCAAATGAGGACGCGAACACGGGGCCCCCGAGGGTAGGGGAGCTGGCCTCGATTGTGTGATTGTGGCCGGGGTGAGATCGCAAACACCTTCATGGGGTGTGTGGAGAAGGTGCGCGAGTGCGAATCGGAAGAAGAAACGCTCGAGGCAGGCAGTCACCAGGCACCGCCGGCGGCGGTGGCGGCCCTCCGTCTACCTGCAAGCTTGACGCCGCGCCAGCGGCGGTCGCGACCGGCGACGTCGCGGCCCGTGGGTCTACCAGCAGTACGATGTACGACGCCGTTGCCGCGCAGACCCGCGTCAGGTCGTCTGTACGGCAGGCGGAGCCGACACGCAAGTGCCACTCACATGAGCGGCGGCCCTGCGGGGTTGTGTGTGTGTATGTGTGTACGCGTAGGCGTAGGCGTAGGTACATCAGTTCAAGGGGGAAGGGAGGGGGAGAGCGCGCGTGTGTGTGTGTGTGTGTGTGTGTGTGTGTGTGTGTGTGTGTGTGTGTGTGTGTGTGTGTGTGTGTGTGTGTGTGTGTGTGTGTGTGTCTGTGTGTGTGTAATCCGTTAGCGTTTGGAATGCGGCGAGTGAGGAACGACGAACCAATGGCGATGGCAAGTTTATTTCTGTGCTTTCATAACGTTTTTATGGTTATATTATGGTTATTAAATTATAACCTGCGCCGCGAAATGCATTTCGGCTTGTCCTCGAAACGCAAATGCCCGAGTAACTCTCTCTCTCTCTCTGTATGTATGTATGTCTCTCTCTGTCATGGCGTCCGTGTTTTAGTACAAGGCCCCAGACCCGCCTGCAGGGCATCAGCCACGACGCGCTTCATGACCCCCTCGACGTCGCCGCCACCGCCGCCACCGGCTTGATCCGTACTGGCAGCCCCACCGCTTGTAGCCGACCAGGCCAGGACGGAGCCCGCCGGCGGCGGCTGCGACGCCAGTACGACAATCGGCCTGCCGTACAGCGGCGAGCCAGACGTGCTGACATCCTCCGCTATTTGCCGCAGCAGCGCAACAGCGGTGGCGTCAGCTGTGAAGTTCAGCAGTACGACATGTCCGTACAGATCCAATGGGGTTCCCCCTGAAAAAGGTTTGAGTAATCGCGACAGGAAAAAGAAATCGATAATGACACCAAAATAATAGTAATAATAATTTAGTAATTGAAATAGAGATGTATTATATTCTGTACTTATATTCGGAACGGCAATCGCGAACGGCGTTATAAAGCCAGTTGCGAAGAGGCAGATAGCAAATTGCGAGTCTAAGGAAAACGTATGCTATGCCGGTAACTTTCCCACCATCATCATTCCCACCACCTTCCTGCAGCACTTCTTGCACATCATCGCATTCCCCTCGACCCACATCGGCTTCTTCTTCCGACGCTTTGGCGCTGCTGCTGCTGCTGCTGCTGGCGGAACACAGTCATTACAAGATGTATCAGACATCTAAACAGGCAAACAGTGTCGCCGGGCTCCGCGTATTTCCAAATCCCTAGACGCCCAGCCCCTTCGCCCTTTTCACTCCCTCACCTCCCCCGCGCCTCTCTCTGCTATCTGCTTCACTCGTCAAGTGGTTCGCCTTATACCCCCAACCCCCCACACCCGCCCTCTATCCTCTTTTACCTGCCCGCAAGGCCTTTATTGTTCCCTTGACCTCCTCCCCGATAAGGCCCAACAGAATGGCGAACACAAACGCGCCGAAGAGAAAGACGGCATTAAGGACCAGGGCACTGGCGGCTGGCTCGTCCAGCCGTACGGCACCGAGGGCTGGCACTCTGGTAGTCATGGCAGACAGGCAGGGAGGTGTTTGCCAGAAGCAACGGGCGAGGTGCATGTGTGGATTCGGTCGCAAAATTTTGGTCATGTGTCAAAAATCATAGTACGGAAAGCGCTGTAGTAATGGTTAACAAAGCGGCTTGTGGGGTTGCCTAATTTGGCTTGGTTTGATCTGGGTTGGTCTCATTTGAAAACGGGATCTGGGTTTCGAAAGTGATATGGATCAGGAATCGATGTGGATTGATGTGGATTGGCGGAAAATTTCAATTTTGGTGATTTTGGGTCGGCAATGACCTAATCCGATTTCATCTGATCTGCGTTGGCATGGCCATCCGATCTGGACCCCACAGGTTTGCATCCCTTTCGTAACGAACTCATCAGGAGCACGCAACACATAAAAGGGTTGTTGTTGTTGTCGCATTTCAGCTGCGCATGAGCCCATGTATCTGTGAAGAGTCCATTTTCCTAGCAACGTGTGTGTACCTGAACAGCAGCCCATACACGAGGTAAGCCGAGGTGCTCCAGGGTTGGCCGCTGGCCAGCGCGTGCACCAAGCCACCCAGCAAGATGAAGGGCAGCGTCAGCGCGGCAAGCAAGACCAGACGTAACCTGGTGCGTCGGTCAACAGCAACAACAGGGAGGGCAGCTTACCTCCATGGCCTACACGAATGGGAGGTTCGCGCAGCGTGCTTGCATTTAGGTGCTGTGAAACGGGAATTCTGCTTACCGAACGATTTGGGTTACATGTTCTATGTAAGAGGAGAAGAAAGGGAAGCCGCGGGGATTTCCGCTTTTTTTGAAGGGCCCTTACGCCATCCGTCGATGCGAGGCAAGGCAATACAGTGTGTAGACACAGGCCAGGAAGAGCGATTCCGTGGATGCTTATGTGTGTGCCTCTGTGTGTGTGAGTCTCTTTCTCGGAGCTGGTTTTTATGGGGTTTCATATGAAGAAATCTGAGCATCGTCGCTGGGGCTGTGAGGCTGCAGGGCAATGCTGATTCTGCGAACCGTTGCGGACAAAGGAAAAGACACCTTTGCACTGGGATAGGAGGGGAAGGTTTGCGCCGGCCCTAAAAAAGAATCCAAATGGTTGCTATGGGGCGGTTAAGTTCGTTTGTAGTGACGGTGTACCCTAATCCGCACTAGCGAAAGTTGTAGCAGAGGTGCCTAATTGCATACCTGAAGTCGAGAATAGTCCTGTGCAAGAGCCTGGAACTTAAGGAGTCCAGACGCCTGCGGACGGCTTGCCGCCGTAACCCTGCTGGTGCTACCCTCCAGACTGGCATTGTTAATCATTGTATTGTGCTTCACAAGGTGCGCCAGATCGAAAGGAATCCATGCCGTGCTATTGGGACTCACACGGCATGGGGGTCAAAAAACGTAAGATGAGCGAAACTAAGCTAGCTGACCAATCCGAAGAAACAGTTATCAAAAGCAGTATTCTCAGCCATGAGTTATGCGAGCTGGACCCACAAAGTGCACGTTCCACGCATAAGAAATGGCGGTTGGCCTCAACCGACGACCCGACCTCGGATTTTAGAATATGCGGAGGCCATTGGTAAAAGTGCTTTCCGACGCCCAGGCACACGCTGGGTTTTCCCTGAAACTCTTAATATGCGCATACCTTTCCTATGCGGCAAACTGCGTGCGTCACACCAACGCATGCCAACTGAAGTGCCCTCAAGTTAGCAAGTTACATCTACTATTGAGCCTCATGGCAAATGAAATGACCTCGAAATAATATGGCACAGAGACGCCACTTCCCTGCGCACAAGCATAGCGTGCCACGGCGTGGCCCTTAGTTCCATTTCCCCTGCGGAATACTGCGGGGCGACTGGCTGCACCGGGGCCGAGAGCCCTTTTCGGCTTCGAAGAAGCTGATTACCCTAGTCCTTTGACACTCCCATCTATCCCTCTCCTTTGCCTCTGCATAGTCTTGCTCGATAGAACATGTAACCGAAGCCGAAACCGTTCGGTAAGCAGAATTCCCGTTTCACAGCACCTAAATGCAAGCACGCTGCGCGAACCTCCTATTCGTGTAGGTCATGGAGGTAAGCTGCCCTCCCTGTTGCTGTTGACCGACGCAGGTTTGGGACAGTGCAGCCGGTGGCTCGGGGTGTATCTTGCTTATGGGATGCAGCTGGCTGCTGCTTCACAAGATATACTTGCGTTTGGCCCGCGAAAATAGCATCAGCTGGTCTCGATCGGAGCACCCAAGTAATTTAAGGTGACAGGCTACCTTGCTACGGGGCCCTTGCTTACATGGAATTGATGTGGACTCTGCAAAAACCTGTTGTCCAGACCTGTCCAGGAGACTACAGGCGAACTCGCCCGCCATAAACCTGCTAGTGACACCCTCCAGACAATTGTGTTATGATTCACCAGCTACGCGAGAATGAAAGGAATCCACGTCGTATATTTTGGACTCACGTTGCATACTGCGATGCGGGTAAAAAACATAAAGCGAACGAACCGAAACTATTTACAGCGCCAAAGGAGAGGTCCACAGAGTATAGCTACACCCGTAGATGTCCGAAATAGACCCACAAATCGTAGGCATTCCCAAGTCCCACGCAGAGGCCAAGACAGTTGATCCCAACCGACGTCCCACGGATTTCCAAGAATCCGAAACACGAGAGGGCAACTGACAAACTTGGCCACCCAAGTCCACACCAGGCAGACGCTATGCTTTCTCCCAGGATTTGAACATCGCGGATGCGGCAACACGCGTGTCACATCAACGCATCTGAAGTGCAACGCGCATCTGCCATTAGCCCTCCTGTCAAATGCAAAGTGACGTTGCAGCAATCCAAATGGCTGGGGCCATTTCGAGCTGGTGGCACAAAACCCGCCATTCCTTGCGCACGAGCATACCGTGCCCCAATAATACCATTTCCGAGCGGCAAGGCAACACAGTCAGTCCAAGACAGAAGTTCTCTTGCATCTTAGCCCCGGCCCCGCCCGCTTGGCCCCGTCTTAGCTTTCGCAGCAGCGCGCACAGCGGCGGCTCGCCCACGCCCTCCCACTCCAAGCGCCATGTTTTTGTTCTTGAATTTCGGATCAATGCGCTTGAACATTGGAGCGTTCTTTAGCATGTCCGGAATGATGAAGAACCGCACACGGCTGCCCCGAATGAAGATGTGCGCCAGCTGAGATACTCGGCCGTCGCGTCCCGTAGCGGTGACGTCCTTAAGCTGGACGTTCATGTTATCCTCGGCCTCAAACAGCTCCCCGCGATACATTTCCCCCGACTTCAGCTCCACAGTAACCACATGGCCTTCAGCCTCGTGAAGGAGCTTGACAGGGATGCCAATACCCTTCTGACTTGTGGCCATGCTGCCTTAAGGGCCGTGAGTCCGTGGCAGGCCTTGACTGGACGCACAGTCCACGGCCCAAGGCGGCTTACGATCTCCGCTGCACCCTTGGCAAAGCTCCGCTCGCTCTTGACCGGAAGCTTTGAAGCGCTATATTATACTTTATCAAATGTCTGCAATTAGGAAAGGGCGCAAAGATGGACGCAATGTGGACTGACAACCTGCTGCACTGGAGGTTATTTAAGTGGGGCAAGATATTGGCGTAAGGAACTACAATCAAACGTCATAGACAAGACTAGTCGAATCAGAGCCCATGAGACGGCTGTCCAACTCGGTTGCCTGAGACTTTCGTACGGATGGGCATCGCTGCTATGTGCTATCGTGCAGCGCTCTTCGATTGTACATTAACTTCATGCGTTTGCTGTCGCGCACACGGGCCGAGTAAGAATGGATAATTCTGAGCCAGGCATTCGGTCATATGTAACACAGCTAGCTGCACTCGCGTAGTGATTAGTTCACAAACAACGCATCGCTTGCGCAGTCCCAAAGCAGGACCTAGCTCTTCAATGCGGCCCGCTTACCTCGTGATAAACGGAATTCTCCGCCAAGTCGCACTTGCATCGCAGCGTGTCGCAGCGTCCGCGACTCCGGGCTTCGGAGCGGCCAGACCAGCAGCAGGCTCAGGCCCATCAGCCACCACCACGACTAACAACATCAGCCTCGCCTCATGGCTGGTTTCCTCGCTCTCAGCACCGTTCGGACCTTCCGGCACGCCCCGCATCTCCGCCAGGGGCCTCTCCAGCCAAACCCACCCTCCACAAGACTCAGACACCCCCTCAGCCGCCGCCTCCGAAACCATCCCTAATGCAATGCCCAGCTCTGATGACAGCGGCACTGGGCCCATCTCAGCCAACACTGCCGTACAGGGGGTGCCGCCGCCGCGTCATCAGCACCTTCGCGCTAAGCCCTCACGCGTCCCCCTCCGCCCGACCCCGGGGGGCCCCCAGCCACCTCAACCCCGCGGGCCCAAAGATAAGGCCCCGAAAGTGCCCAGCGCCAAGGCCGCCGCCGCCATGGCGGCTGTCAAGGCGGGCGGTGGCCAACAGCCGCTTGCCAGAGAGGCCCGACTACAGCTTGACACGCAGCTGGCGGAGATGCCGCTGCCGCCGTACAGGGACCGTACGGGCGCCGCTGGGGAGGGTCCCCGGACCGTCCACGTCACTGGCTTCTACACAGGTAGATATGTTAGGGCTGCGGGCGGGCGGGCTTAGCCCCGCTGATTGAGCCACTGATTGACCGGTCTTGAAGGACTTTTACGGCGGTCAGTTGTCAGTTGGGTATTTTGATGCTACTGCCACTGCTACTGCTGGTGGTGGTGCTGGTATTCTTCTGCTACTGCCAATTTGCCAATTTGCTATATACTACTGCCATATTGGTCTATACTGTCTGCAGGTCACCCCTTCACCCGCGCCTACGCGGAGGCTGTAGCTGCTCGGCTCCGAAACCAGCCCCTGGCGACCGGCACCTCCGTAGCCGGGGTGTACCACGACCACGAGGACGCGCTCATCATCCTGACCGCCACTACCCTCTACACAACGACCCATGGGTCCGCTGTCCTCGCACCCAGAGCCCTAACAGCCCCACCTGCATCTGCAGGACAACATGGGAGCACAGAACATGGGAGTACGGCAATACCTGCACTCCTCTCAACCCCACAACCAGCAGAATTGACATCAACATCATCATTATCATCATCATTATCATCATCAACATCGCAATCACCTTCACAGTCACCTTCACCACCACCAGCAGACGCAGCAGTAGCAGTAGCAGCACCACCAGCTACTGCTGCTAGTGCCGCTGCTACCGGCCTTCGGGAGGGGGCTGCATGGGGGGTTGTAGCAGGTGGAGGTGGTTCTGGGGGATGGGGGGTGGGAGGGGGGTCGGCGGAGGCAGGGGGGGGGGACGGTGCTGCCGAGTCGTCATCTAGTTCCGGAGGAAGCGGCAACGGCGGCAGCAGTAGCAACACTCAGGTGGGTGCGGGGTCGTGCGCGTGAGCCGTGTGTATGTTATGTATGTATGTATGTATGTGCGTGGCAAGCCCCCGAGCAGCATTGGCACGTGGAAGGACTGTCGTACAAAGTCGTTGGCGCTGTTGGGGCTCTGGGGCCAGGTAAAATCTTCATAACAATGCCGTACACTACAGAAACACAAACGCCGTACATCCGTACGATACATTGCAGGATAAGGCCTGTATGGCGGTAATGCTACTGGAGTACGGGGGTGTCGTATTTTTCAACATTCCGGAGTCACTGCACGTAGAAGCTTTGGTCCGGGTGGCGGCGGCGGCGGCCGACGTGAAGCCGACGGCGGCGGCGGCGGCGGCTGAGCTTGCAGGGCTGCCGCGGCCGCGGCCGCCACTGCCGCCGCCTCCGCCGTCGCTTCGCAGCGGCGGCAGTAGCCGTCCGGCAGCAGACGCGGAGGCGGCCTGGCGCCAGGCGGTGGCAGAGAAGCTTTGCATACACAAGGAAGGTGCGTGTGTGTGTATGTTTAGTGTTTGTTTGTATGTCTGTTTGTATGTGGGACGGGGGGAGAAAGGTGGAAGCAAGGGGATAAAGCGTTGGAAGGTGGAAGGAAGTCAAACCCTGAAAGGGCGTTGGGAGGGGCAGGGGGGTTGGGTAGAACGGAGGGGGACGGGGTTGGGAAGGCGCGGAAGTGTACGGCATGTAAGCCCGTACCCGCGCTTGCACTTCCCCCCTCCCCTCCCCCGCCACCTTTGGGTTCTCACATCCAGCCGCACACACACACAGAAAAACACATACACGCATATTTGCCCCGCGTCTTCCATCCCTCCAGCCAAAGCACACGCACTGCCAATACACACTTACCCCTCCGCGCCGCCGATCATTCTCTTCCTCCACCACCTCTTCCCACCCACCTACCCCCCCCCTTCCTTTCCCCCCCTCCCCCCCCCTTGGCACCCCCAGAGCAGCTTATCGTGGTGGAGCCTTCGCTGATGTCGGCAGGCCGTGGTACGGCAAGGTGGATCCGGAAACTGGATGACTCGTTACAAGTTTGGGTGAGTAGGGGGATAGGACGAACCACGGACGAGTGAAGCCGTCACCAGGGGGGTTATATCCCTGGTATATACCGGTACATAGACGGATATTCCGCGCTGGAATAAATAGTCAGATGCACAGGATTCATCAGGAAGGTGTACGACGTTACCGACCGGTAATAACGCTTAGGGGGCAGTGGTCAACTTTCCGCGGCGACGCGGCCGGCTGGCTGGCTGGCTGGCTAAGTTGAGAAAGGAGCTAACAGCTGCTGCCGAGTCCAAAGAAGGAGAAAAAGCGGACCATCGAAAGGAGTACCCCCTACCCCTAGCCCTACCCCTAGCCCTACCCCTAGCCCTACCCCTAGCCCTACCCCTAGCCCTACCCCTAGCCCTAGCCCTAGCCCTACCCCTAGCCGTCAAGATGAAGGAGAGGAGTATCGGAAAAAAGAGTGGGCACGCGGCCGCACGCACGTATGTATGTATGTATGTATGTGTGTGCGGGGGGGAGGAGGGAGGGAGGGAGGGAGGGGCGGGCTCCCATCAGTCCCAACTACCCCACCGCGTATGAAAGCTCACTCTTCCCTCCCTCCCCACCACGTCAACCACCTCACACCGCCGCCCCCACACCACACCGCCGCCCCCACACCACACCACACCCCACAGGCCTGGGATAGCACCAACCTGGAAAGCATTGCGCGCGTGCTCAGCCAGTCAGCGGCCATCAGGTACTACAACCAGGAATGCGAAGATATGCTGGAAAGGTACGACAGATGTACGAATGTACGGGTGTACGGACATGAACAACATGACCAGTGCTGTCGAAAGGGAGAGTGGGGAGCGTTGTCAACGCCTCCCTCATGTAGTACAGAAACCGCCTGGAGTGTGTGCGTATGTGTGCATGTGTGTATTTGTGGTTGTGAAGATTACAAGTATCTATCTGACCGGGGGCCTGACGACACTGGCCACAGGGGAGGGGCTGTTGCCCAGCCCCGAGGGAGAGACCGCCTGACTAAGAGCTCTCTCCCCCCCGGACGGGGAAGAGGGGCGTGAGGGGGCCCTCTGGACCCCCCTCCTAAAGCGGCATGGAGAGCCGCAGGTCCGCTAGCTCCTCCGCTCTCCTCCCCACCGGGGGTGGGACGGATGGGAGAGGCGTCGCACGCGCGGACGCTCTCACAAGTCACGAGGCTCCGTCGCGCGAGTTTCGCGCTGAGTTCACTCAGCCTGAAAACACGATGTATGTATGTCCGTGTGCATTTGTGTGTGTTGTGTTTTACACATCGCATCATACGGGAACGCTATGGCCGGGGGACGCTACCCGCGCCCCCCGGGGGAAGATCACGGAAGCAAGTGCGCGCGTGATAACTTCTTAGGAATTACCCCGGAGGCGGAAACGGGTTGCCGGGGGGCCACTGTCCACATTCGCCCCGTTGGTGAATTCTCACCTCACCTCAAATAAACGATCACTCGACCGTGATGATTCACGCAGCGTACGGCACTATTCCCCGCAGGTACGAGACCATCATGCCGCTGGGTACCGAAGACCCCCCCCTGGAGCCCTCCCCCCCCTCCCGCCTCCGCAGCAGCCGGCTGCTCTTCTGGCGGAGCCGACTGCCGCTCCGAGACCTTAGACAAATGGTGTTCAAGAGGTGCGAGGTGGGGGAGGGAGGGGAGGGAGGGAAAGACGAACCACACACGATTGAAGCTGCTGCCAGGGCAAGAGTGTATCAAACTAAGGGGAGGGGGGGTTGGGTACGTAATTGGATGACATTCTTGTTGGTT